ACAGATCTAATGGGAAACAATATTCAGTACTATTCTAAAAGGGAAATGAAGAAACAAATGCTTTATCATGAAAAGGAGCTAACATTTTAGTGTTTCCTAAAGTATTTTAGCAAGGCAGACTCTGTCTCAATTTGTGTCACAGTCATAGCATGAGTCAGAGAATGATTTCATTGATCTGCCCTACTCTTCAGTCTTTTAATGCCACCATTGATTAGATAACTGAGATTGTTGTGTGGGAGGAATATAATGACAGTAAAAATGAATGTTCTTTTAAAGTGTAATTAGAAAACACTGCTTGAAGAATTTTTTTGTGTCAAAGAAATTCAAAAACTTTATTCACAAATATGAAGAAGTCAGCTTTGATGGACTCCTCCCATGCTTATCTGGATGAATGGAAGGTAGTCCTGCTGTTCATGAATGCTTCTGAAATTAATGGGGGCACCTGGGATAGAACAGATGACCAGCACCAATTTGTGTCAGGTTACTGAGTACCTTGTAGGAAGGAATTTGGAGACACTTGGAATTCTATGCAAGGTCCTGGACACTAAGAAAGCAGTCTTTTGGGAAAGGAGTGCCCATGCATGTACCATAGATGCAGCCTGAGACTTTACAACATGGCATGACTGGATTCACATCACATTTGCTCTGGGGAGCAAATTACTTATCCTCCTTGATACAGAATTTTCTTATTTGTAAAACGGGGATAAAACTATTTAGAATTCTTTATTTGATATGATTATTGTAAAGAATAAAAGGAGGTGATGTCTCTTAAAGGCTTAGCAGGATGCCTGATACATAGAAATTGCTTAATGAATATCCTTTCTATTTCCCTGAATGAGAAGTATGAAAGACATGAAGTGAGGGGTGTGGGAAAATTAATACTTTCCATTAATATGTTGGCTCGAAGGTAGAGTTAGTGCTACTGGCTTTTCTGTAATTCATGGGAGAAACTTGCTATAACAGTGCCCAGGGAGAGGTGGGATATAGGCCCAAGAGGAAATGTGATTACTGGTGGTCCGGAGTATAAACTTGAAACAGACTGTTCTGTTTTCTAATACTGGCTCTGACACTTTCTGTGTGTCTTTGGGTAAGTTATTTAATCTTTCTGACCCTATTTCCCTGTATGTGCAGTAGAAATAATGATACAGGGTATGCAATAAATGCCTGGTTTCCTTGGCCAACCTATTACCTTCATTCTCTGAGACTTGATTCTCCTTTCTCAAGAAAGAGCTCTTTCAGCCATACTTGTCTACATGAGCATGTTCCATTGCTTACAACTGATGAAGGGACCTGGTCGGGGGGGTCACTTGACTTAGAAGGATCCAACCCATTGGCTGGGCTAACACAATCAGCTTCTCTCTCTTGGAGGAGGACTAAATGACATGATGACTATAAAGTACTTCACACAGGGCCCAGGGTGTAATGATGGTTCAGTAGTTTTAAAATTCCAAGTAAAAGCCATTTTCTGGCATCTACTCTTCCACTTTCAAAATTTTTCTCTACAGTAACTGTAATTTGCATAGTTGGTACAAGCCTAATAGCTAACGCTGGTGAGAATTTTTCCCGGGTTTGGAAGTGACAGCTCAACCAAGAGAAGGATGACATTCCTATCTTCATATCCCTTTCATGCCAGGGACATTTCTGAATGAAGCATGTCTTAAATGGTTTTCTCTGGAAAAGCCTAACAATTCTCGTGCTAGAAATTTTAATGTCATGGTCCCAGTCTAGGTATTTCAGACCTAAGATTGCTTATTTTTAACAAGTCCAACTAGGAAACAGCAGAGGTAAAATACCATTTTTAACCACGCCTCTTTCACATGGGCACCCTCTGAGTCTACAGCTTTAACCTCAGGAATGGCTGTTTACTTATTCTGTCCCTTAACAGGTTCAGCTCATTAAATGCTGCAAAACTTATTCAGCAAGGATTACATCTGATTTTGCTCATTAAACTAGAATGGGCACCATGGTGGGGAAAAGGTATGGGAGTTCAGTGCCTGTAATCTTAAGGGTCTCCAAGAAAGGAAAGACTGTCCTTAAACAATAAACACACAAAGAAACACTTTCCTATTTGGTATTAATCTCAACTATCAGCCAATACATTGAAGACAGAATTTTACCTTTCTATGCACTTTTTTTAATCTTTGACAACGTTTCTTTTCTTCTTCAACTTACTATGTCACAGAAATTTTGTTTCCTTTTCTTTCTTTGCTATACAAACCTGAAGGTCATTTTGATTTTTCTTTTATAGTTTTCATCCTAATTAAATTTTGTCAGCTGAATGTTCAGATTTTTGTTTTGTTTTGGTTTGATGTTTGGTGGCAGAAAATTCTTTCTCTTTCTCTGTCTCTCTTTCCTAAAACAGAAAGTTTCCTGGTTTGGAATCAACCAACGGTATGCTTAATGCGCCTCAGAAATCCTGTAAAGTTTTCACATATGCTGAAAGATTCTGTGGTGCCTTTGGGATATCAATAAGGATTTAGGGGAAAATACCATCCTTCCAGTGCTATGCACTATGCAGGAGAGTCACTTAGTCACAGCATGGCAACCCCTATAAACCCTTTACCTAAATTCATATGTGTGTGTGTGTGTGTGTGTGTGTGTGTCCACACATATACATATATACATATATATATTCTATAACCAGCAAAGTATAATCCAGGTCTCTTTTCAAAAGGAGCAACCAGTTCAAATGCACAGCTGGATATGCCAGCAAACACATAATTAGACAAATTGGATTTAAGAGTTACGTAAGGCCTTAACTGAGCCAGTGAATAAGAAGTTGAATGAAACGTTGTGATTGCTGCTCTGGTGCAACAGAATATGTGGATCTGCGTGTTTTGGGCAAATAAAAGGCAATTACTGGGAGTTATGGAGTGTAGTTGGCATTCCATGGGAGTTAGACTACAGAATCTTTCACAGTGGGTTGTGCTGGGGAAGAAAATGTCCATGGCTAAAAGAGGAGCCTGTTAGAGAAGATGTGCTAAAAGGAAAAGATTTGGTAAATACTATTTTGAATTTATATTTTATAAAAATATAATATGCAATTTTTCAATATTCTATAAAATGTCTTGGAGAATTTTAAGTACAAAATGATACATTATACATTACTATTTCTCTTCTGAAAGTGGACATTTCCAGCCAAGCCAGGTATATTCTGGAGAAGACAACAAGCAAAGTCTATAGTTTCAGAATTTTTCACTAAGAATATTAAAACCAATGAGTAAATATTGAAGATAAACCCCCTTATAGAATTAAGAAGCTAAAAATAAATTACCAGTTTTTCCTATTTGCAAATAATCTTATTTGCAAATTTGACTCAAGGCAACTGAATGAAAAGTTGATATTCTTCTCTCAACAATCTTCATAAAGTAAATGGGACAAAAAAGCAATTGTCTGAGAGAGTTCAATTTTCTTAAAGAAAACATCCTGAATTAATTGACAAAAGTACCTATTAGTCCCCATGACACCAATGCTTATAGCATTTAGGGCTTGTCTCTCAGTGTGCAATTTAAATATATATCTACAAAATCCTTGCCAATAATACTCATATCTTCTTGTCTATTGATGCTGCCTAACCATTAAAATCTCTATTAGCAATCTCATGTTTGGTTTGATATATTTTACAAAGAAGGATTTGAACACATTTAATTTGCAAAGCAGGTACTACAGACAGTGGCAAATACAAAAATGAACGAGTCGCTTCCCTCAAATTTATAGTCTGGTAAGAGAGACAGAAATATAATAAAGAAGTAAAGATGGTGTGTTGTTGGCAACTTTGCCACTTCTAAAGGAAATTATTTTGAAGCATTTTATATTTTGTTTGCAATTGCTATTTGAAGTGTATTTTGCTTCTGTTATTTAAAAGGGAAGTTCTTTTACATTGAAGGTATGTATGCAACCTTTATGATGTTACTATTATAATAAAGTATTATATACTACTTTTCAGCTGATGATTAAATAACTCTGGATCATTATGGGCACAGTAGTTGGCACAACTTTTGGCAAAAAATCGATTTGGTTTATGGTCTATTATAATCCACAGATCATAATTCAAATAGAGATCCTTAATGGCAGTTTTTTTTTAAAAAGTATGTAGTCTGCTGAGGACTAAGTAGATTCTTATGTTTGTCAACCTTTCAATTCTTCTTGACAGCTGTCTATTGTTGAGTTATCAAATTGCAAATATCATATTTGGAGAAGACACTCCCCCCCATTTATTTATATGTGGGAGAGCTTTGGGAAGTTTGCTTGCTAGGGGCATAGTGATAGACAATCCAAGGGGAACAAAGCTTGGCAGAACGACAAATGTGGTTATAGTATGGCCAGCTTCTGCTTCTTAGTCTAAAACTTTTTCAGAAAGAGAAGGTTGTCTTACACATTCTACTTTCAAAAACGCCAAAGAGGACAGGTAGATTCAGTATAACCTTCCGTAGGTTAAATGAAATCTCTTCATCCTTAAGCTGGTATCTCAATACACCCCTGACACAGGGAAGGATATTTACTGTTATCCAACAAACCTTCATTGAATTAATGTACTTTATACACATTTTCAGGCTAACAACCATCAATCCTTCATTCCTTCCAATTACAGAGCACAAAGAATCTATCTGTCTTAAGTAAATACATTCACTTAGCTTGAACATCGATAATTTTATTACAATGTATCTTAAATCAGGTTTCATTAAGATATAACAAATAAGGAGAATAAAACAATTATCTGAAGTAACATTCATTTGTGATTGAAAATCATAGCTCATTCTTTGTTGTTGCTCCCTGTTTTACTTTCTACAAGGAGGAGTAATGTTAGAAATAGGTGAATACTTTCTATTGTGTTAGGACCAAAGTGTTGTTTGTTAGTTTTGATCTGATAAAACTTTCCTCTAAACTTGAGTATTTATAGACAGAATTTTTGGTTTGTAAAGACAAATTCAATGTTGATCTTGTCAGAGGGATTCGGAATAAGAACAAAAACACATACAAGTAAGAAAGTAGAGACTTACTGTATCACGTTGCCTGTTATCTTTCCCTGATATTATCAGGAAGTAGTTCCATGTCAATAGTAACAACAAAACCAGTGGTATCATGTACAGCTCAAAGTTCCAGACAACAAAGAGAAAGAGCTGGAGGAGAGAGAAGAGAGAAGAGAAGAGTCAACACTGAATTTCATTAAATGGACTGTTATTTATACTCCACTTCAAAAACACAAAACCAAATGCTTCAGAACAGGAAGATTTATCTTGAAAATAAAGCCTTTGGAACTTTCAGGCATTTTTCTAAAAATATACCTGACCCTTGGAAAGTCACTGGTAAGATTTTTAATCTGTTTAATTTCTATGAAGGAAAAGTTGGTATCATTACATTATCAAAGAGGAAATTTGAGTTTTTCTCCTCCAGTGAAATTATTGTTTGGTTGGACACAACTTTTTAAAAGCAGCAAAATGAACTCCACTACACTGTCAGGAATAGCCTGGTTTATCTGCCTTAATGGTAAAAAATGAATCACTATTTAATATCAGGGACTTTAAAAAATCTCACTTGGATAATGCAACATAACAAGCTTAATAGGCAGATAAAGATACCAGCTCTACACAAGAGAGGCCCAAAGATTTCACAATATGAAAAAAAGCACTGCTACCAACAAGAATAAAAAATTGTTGGCTTAACATTCAGCATTACCATAGAAATCAAACAGCTATTACAAGAAAATTTTGTCAAAACAAATTTTAAAATGCCTATTTGTATTATTCTTTTTTGACACTACCTAATTCTCCAAGTATATAAACTTTTTCATTGTAAAACAAATGTTAGATTAAGAACTCAGGATGGCAGATGGAGTCATTCTAAGAACACTTAGATTATAAAGCAACACAAAATTAGATATAAGTGTGATACACCCCCACCCCTCACCAGACTTGTAATCCTGGACAGATCATATGAATTCTCTGGTCTGTGGCTTTTGCTGTCAGATTAAGGTAATGTTGTCAGGAGGCATTTAAGATCTAGGTTCCACTCCTTACCCTAATGCTACTAGCCATATAACTTTTAAGCAATCTATTCCTTCTTTCGTTTCTTTTCCGGTAAAATGGGGATGATAGGGTTATCCACCTCAGGGCTGTGATAATTAAATAGTTAAAACATGTTAAAGATTTAACATACTGCTTGGTGCCCAGTAACTGTGCAAAAACAAAACCCCAAATCATTATTGTGTAAATGTTATTCATATCTTACAAAACACAAAAGTCAACTAATTATTGATTAAGGTCCTCAAGTAATTAATGCAGATTATAATACTGGAAGCTAGAAAGCCCTCTCCCTGATAAGATTTAGCTGAACCATGGCATAACTGGGAGTTTCAGCCAGCTGGTTGGAATAACACAAACATCTTGAATTTGATAAGTCAGGATAGTTAGGGGCAGTGCCCTAAGGACACCCGTGTTAGGCACAGCAGCATGGATCATTTGCAGTCTTCTTGATAAATCTCAGTGAAGCCTATAGCCTATTTAAATGGCAGAGAAAATTAAACAGTATGAAATGGTAGAGAGACTCCTGGTTTCAGGGTCAGGAGACCAAGGTTCCAAGCTTTAGAAAGTTACTTTGCCTTAGTGTTCCCATATCTTGACAGAGGTCTATAAATCTAATCATCTTTAATATTTCTCTAATATTTAAAATGACTTTATGACATTATTGCACCAACTGTTTTTTCAATGTGACATTAAATTTTGAATACTGCATATTTCACCAAATTCTTTTATACTCATAACCAAGTGGGCACCAAAAAACATAAATAATAGTTTAGGAAGCCAAGAAATTATTTTAGACAGAATTACATGGTAACTATAGATTCAAGTTCCTGCATAAGAAAAGTTCCAAATATTGTAATACATGAAACATAAGCCATATCTATTATTTCATGAGAAAAGCAGAAAGATTTCCAGAAAAAGAAAATATTTTCATTTAATTTTTGAAATTTATACAATATATAAAGATGACATAAATAGTTGATGGTTATGATTATTAAAATATATTTTTATAAAGATAATTATCTTTTAAGGAAGTGAATTAAGGCAAATCTGACAGATATCAATGCATGAAAAAGGGAAAACCATTTTTGGCTAGAGTCCACATTCTTTATACATTTATTTGTAAGACTGAGGTAGTCACTAGACTGTAAGTTCCTTTAAAGGTAGACTCTTTGTTTTCATTCACTTGTTTTATCCTGAGAATGTGGAACAGTACTTGAGGCAAAGTAAGTGCTCATTAAGTAAATATTTACTGAAATAATGGATACATGGACACTGGGTTCTCCAATCATTTGACAGAATTCTATTTAATTATTTGTCTTAGCAAAACTATTATAGATCTACTACATAAAACAAAGTGATTTTAGGAAGATGCAGAATTACAACCTGGGATGCTACTAACAAATTTCCCCCTCTGTCAAATAAGCCTACCTTAGTACTTCTTCTAGACAAGATTTTCTTTCCATTTGGCTATTTTGGATGAACTATTTTGGATATTATGATCTTTTCTCCTGGACCTTCTTTATGTTTGTCTTTTCTGAGGACATTTATTTAACTTAGTGTGTTCTGGCCTCCTGGATGGGACTCAGATTATCCCATTGCTAAATACAACCAATTGTAATCTTTTTAACCTATTGAACAGATACATTTTCCCTTGTAATGTCCACTCATTGTGTTAGGGTCCTCATCTTATCCAGAATAAATTTCCTTGTAATGTTCATGTATTGATGTCAGCTGTAGGTCTGTCATCCACAGAAAAAACTTCCTAGATGACAATCCTGCATGCAATCAAGACATCTCTCATGCCTTCTTCTCTAGGTTTGACATCACCACTTGCTTCAAGCATCAATTACAAAGTGTGGTTTCTAGGCACTTTCTTATTGTAGTCAGTGTCCCCTTACCATATCCAAATCAATACATCAATAACTTTCTCAAGATATAGAACTCAGAATTGGCATACACTTCTCATGACTGTCCACGGTATTTTTATATGTCCTAATAACATGAGCACCAGAACATGGATTGGGGAAAGACACAGAAGAGAGAGACAAAGGAAGAAATTGCATTCATTTTAGGAATTCCGGCAATAGAAAAACCATCTCCTTTCCTACTGTGGTTTTAAGAATCTAATATTTGAGTAACCGAGTGAGGAGCTCCTACTGTTGAAAATATCCTTTTTTTAAAAAAAATGAGAGCTTTGAATAAACTGTAAATATAAAAGCATTTATTTTAATTTTTAGCATCTAGATGAAGATTTCAAAAGGTAAAGAAAAGAACATGAATACAGGTTAACAATAAAAATGTATTTATTGAACATGTATGTTACAAAATATTGGATGTTTAAAAGTATAACAGCCAATCATTTATTCAATATAGTATTAGTGATGATTCTAATTCCTATTAGCTGGTGAGGCTCCTCTAATAAAGAGAGCCCTCGAAGGAAGAAAGGAGCTTTTTAACTCATTCAATCCACACTGAATCCTCTTCTCTCTTTCCTCCTTGGAAAGAGATCGATTCTCTCCTATTTCCTACAAAAAAACAAACAACAACAACAAAAAACCAACCTAAGCTAACACAAAAGGCCAGGCCTTTAGTGCCCCTCTAGGGTAGCAGGACAAAGAAGGAAGCTGGAAGAAACCCAAGGAAGGCCGACAATGCAGGATCTGTCCTTGGTCCTGATTATACATTTTCAGAGGTATGGGGGAAAAGAGAGATATAATAATGCATTAAAATGGGGTGGAAAAAGAAATCAAGAAATAATTTTAAATATCTCTAATGTATTCACAGAATACAAACATAAACCATAAAATGTCTAGCATGTGTCCACATCTGCATTTCCGAAACTGTTTTCTGCCTTTGTGGGCCATGGAATGAGGACCTGCAGATTTTAGAATTTTTTGATGTTATAGTACATGATAAGGACACTCACAAATGTCTACGGAGTGTTTAATTCTTTCAACTCCATCACTATAGCACCCCTTCTGTATTTCTTCTTCTCTCTCTGTCACATAATCTCTTCATGTCTCCCCCATCTCTCCTTTTAATAAGGAATCTTAGGCTGTCTATATTTTACTCTGATGGAATACATGCCCCATTCCAAACAAAACATCTAGCCCTACATTAGTTATCCATGCTCATTAGAGACTAGAACTATTCCAGGAATTGGTGGCTTTCTTCTTTAATCATTAGATGGCTGTTGTAATTTACAATTAGAATTCGATACCAGAAAATCTTCAGGGGGTATTAGTCAAATGGTAATAAGTACACATAGTCCCTTCATTAGAAAAATAATATTGAGAGTTTTACTCAGTATCCTGCATGTTAGAAACTCTGTCAACTGGCCTTGGGCTGTTAGCCAGGACTGTGGGATTCCCTCAAGGAGCTGATGCAGTGTGGGACAGTAGAAAAAGAAGGACGTTTGAATCAGGCCTAGAGGCATCCAAACTCTCTAGTCACTAGCTTTGGGAACTTGGGCAAGTTACTAGATTTCTCTTAGTTTTGTCATCTGAGAAATGGAAATTATAATATTTACTCTGCAGATTTGAGTAGCAATTAAGCTGATGCTTGACACCTATAAGATGCTCAACAAGCATTAGGTATTATGACAAGCAGGAACTGATTGGCTTAAACTGAATATAATATTTTTGGCTCTTCTAGCAGCTTATCACTTTTCATATACCACCCTAGAATCCACAGCTAATGATTGTTTCAAGTGTAAGAGCTACGCTAAAGAAGCCATGCCAACTAAAGTAAAAAGAGATAATGAAATCAGTGCCACTTTCAGTTTTCATATTTAATTTGTGGTGACTGAGTACAGTAATGACCCCAATTTTTCCATGTCTCCCTGTATCCATGACTTTTATAATACCCTCCCACAATGACTGAAATTAGGCATATAACTTGTTTTGGTCAAGGACAGAATAGCAAATATGATGAAAACAGAGGCTTAAAAAATCATGGGGCATAGTTGCCTCCATCACCCCAACTGAAAGCCAGACAGCATCCAAAGCAAAGCCAACTAACAGACCAGAAGCCAACCAAAGATGCATGAGTGAGCCCAGCTGAGCCTAGTCTAAACTGCTAACAAAATCATCACTAAA